GGGGTGGTCAGACCCCAGACAGTGCTGCTTGTCTTTCTCTGCATTGTGCCCCAGCAATGCTTTGGACAGCCCCAGGAAGGAGAGTGGTTGGGATCGCTGGCACCTGGCTTTAGAGGATGAGCCTTTCCTTTCATGCAGCCCCAAACTTGACAGGAAACAGCAGCATATTAACATGTATATTTTCAACATATATATTAAAATTTCCCATCTCTCTTCCAGGAAGGATCATTGGTGGAACAAAAGTGAAGGCTCACTCCAGACCCTACATGGCTTATTTAAAAATTCAAAGTGGATCAGAACCCAGTTACTGTGGAGGATTCTTGATTCGCCCAGATGCAGTTCTCTCAGCAGCTCACTGTGTGGATAAAAAAGGCAGGGCAGTGAGGGTCACTGTGATTCTGGGAGCCCACAATGTAAACAGCCGAGAACGGAGTCAGCAAAAGATCCGTGTGAGACAATGGGTCATCCATCCTAAATATTCCCATAAAGACTTGAAATATGACATTGTGCTGCTGAAGGTATGGCCCAACAGATCCTTCCTGCATGAGGGCTCTCCCCTTGCTCACCTCCCCAAATTCTGAACTTGCTCCTCATCCTTTGCTGGCTCTAACCCCGTGTTCTCTCTGCCTGACAGCTGAAGCCAAGGGCCAGGATCAATGAGAATGTGCAGTTTATCTCCATTCCCAGGAGAAATGAACACGTGACAGAAGGAGCTTTATGCACGGTGTCTGGCTGGGGCTGGACATCTGACAGAGGAAACAAGACTAATGTGATGAGAGAAGTGAAACTGAAGGTGCAAGAGGAGAAAATCTGTCAGCAGCTTTTCCGTAACTACCAGCGTTGGTCTATGATCTGTGTTGGTGATGAAAACAGTAAAAAAGCAACTTCCCATGTAAGTGTTGTTTTGGGCTGCAAGTCTGGGAGGAGGTTGGGACTAGAAAGTCACCTTAGTTCCCAGGTGAAAGCCAAAGGACACCAGGATGAACCAGGACCTTCAGAATGATGAGCTGAGGGTCCTCACAGAAGACCCGAAGCCAATGTGCTCCCTCAACTGGGGTGCATTTTCCAACTATCAGCAACATTTCCTTTTTTACTTACTTGGGGATGTTCTACCCAGGTTAACCAGAGCTTTGGAGTGTAAATTCCTTGTGATATCCTTGCCCAGATGGGTTAGATATTTACCCATGTTTAAAGACAATGTTCTTTTAGAGTTTTTGAATCTCATAGAGCCTCCAGGCCTGAATTGTTTCATGGCTGGGCTTAGAGCAGTAGTGAGGCAGCTACAAACACTGAGAGCTGTGTCTGGAGGGAGGGAGGTGCTGGGAAGAGGAGGTGCTTCACCTGGAGGGAGGGAAGAGGAAACTTGCTGCTTAAGGCAGGGAGAGCTGAGCTGTGGCATGTCTGACCCCTGTCACTCCTTTCATGACACAGGGTGATTCTGGTGGCCCATTAGTCTGCAATAAGAAGGCTCATGGCATTGTTTCTCATGCACGTGAACACAACATCTTCCCTGAGGTATTCACCAGGATCTCGCACTTTGAGCCGTGGATCC